TAAGTGCTATGGAAGTGTACACTTTAAATGGGTGAATTACATGGTTTGTGAATTTTATCTCAATAAAGCTGTTAAAGAGTGATGACATAGTCAATGCTGACTCAAAGATACTCACAAGCTCCAAAGGACTAATTCCACTGTATATGAAGTATGATTCTCCTTGTGTTTTGTTTTAAACACACATACATGCATAGGAAAAATATCTGAAAATACCCCAAGAAGTTACAGTGAGTATCTCTAGGTGATAGCATTATGGATTTAAATATATATTTTCACATACTTTCTGTATGTTTTATAATAGGCACGTAATCTCTATTAAAAAATAATATAATCACCTACCTTATTTTTTAAAATGGATTATTTAAATAGGTTATTTTTTAGATGGCTATTAATGTTATTATTAAAAGTATATCAGGAATAGAGACTAAAGTCCATAGATTGCTCCCTGCATACACAACATCTCAAAGTCCTTAGAACCAGTCCCCCTGCCCGCACCGCCCGCCCCCCCCACCACACCCCTGTGATCCGACGATTTGTCTATGTCCAGAAGACCTACTCAGCATCGCGCCCTCAGTGACTGGTCTGGGGACACAGCGCAGCACTGGACTTAGTTCGTAAGCGACGGTAAACGCCCCTTGCATAACAGCACATCTATAATTGAGAATGGTAATAAATGGTACCCTCATGAGCATATTTCCTCAGATACTTAACTCCGAGTCACTGGCTGGCGCTGGAGAGAACAGATCCCATTATGCTCAATGGAAAGACTCCATAAGTAACAGCCTCACTGCAGATGATGGCATTTCAAACCATCAAAATTCCTGGATATGGTTTCTGGTAGCGAGGCTGCGGGCTGCAAAGGCAGTCAAAACTCAGCTCCGTCCATTGTCATTCCTTGGGCTGACTTCTTCATTCACGGGCCCAGACTCCAGAGGCTTTAGGCAAACCACACTCTGGGGGTGCAGTGATGAACGACAGGTGAAGGCGAGGCCACAGACAGCCCTAGCAGGATCTGGCAAAACGCAGCCCACGGGACTCCCTCCTGCCTTCTCCCAGATCTGCGGGGTCTCCGTGTGACTCCAGGAGGCCCCTGGTTCAGAGTGGCACTTGGGAGAGGGGATGGAGAGGCAGAGGCAGAGCTTTATTAACCTCGACTTGGCTGGGGAGAGAAAGGTAACTGAGTGAACAGACCTCGGTATACCAATTAGCTAACAGAATTGATAGCACTTTCCCAAATAGCAGAGAGGCAATGCAGGATCTCATACCGTTTTTATAAGGTATGTACTTGGTATTAAAACAAAGTTATTGGGATAGTCTGGAAGTCCAGGCAGAATGGCAGAGGGAAAAAAGATGAAGGAAACAATCTCAGATCCCACAAGACAGGTACACTGCAATCTGTGCTGTTAGAAATCGTTGTAAACAGCAACTTGGTTGGTAAACACTGACCTGTCACCTCATTGTCTTAAACCTCATACATCTGAAAATACCAGCTTTTGAAAGCAGATGTGCGAAAGAGAAGCTTCCTGCATTTTCTGCTGTTTCCCCCTTGAATCCATTGCACACCTACATTTCAGAGTTTTGGCCGTGAGGCACATTCATCTCCGTGAGGTTAAGAGCTTGATTTATATCAGTGCTTCCTAACCTATGTGCATGTGACTCAAGTCTGAGGGTGGAGTAGGGGAGACCCAGCATAAGCTTCTGATGGTTGAAGAAGGAATGACTCTCAGGTTACACAGCATCCATCATATTAGCGTGCCATCATTTATCGAGCAAGTTTCCTGTCGGTTGATAACTGGGCCAGCTTTTTGGAACTTCATGGGTCCCAGTGTTACTGTGATGGTATGTATGTGTGTGTGTGTGTGCATACATGTGTGTATATATATATATAATGTATGTATATATATATATTACATGTATATGTATGTATATTTACATGTACCCTTTGCGACCCCATGGACTGTAGCCCACCAGGATCCTCTGTCCATGGGATTTCCCAGGCAAGACTACTGCAGTGGGTGGCTGTTGCCTTTTCCAGGGGATCTTCCTGACCCAGGGATTGAACTCAAGTCTCCTGCATTAGGAGGATTTTTTACCACTGAGCCACCTAGGAAGCCCATAGACATCCTTGTTGTTGTTGTTTAGTCACTAAGTTGTGTCTGACTCTTTGCAACCACATGGACTGCAGCATGCCAGGCTTCCCTGTTTTTCACTATCTCCCAGAGCTTGCTCAAACTCATGTCCATTGAGTTGATGATGCCATCCAACCACCTCATCCTCTGTCACCTCATCCTCCTCCTGCCTTCAATCTTTCCCAGCATCAGGGTCTTTCCCAACGAGTCAGTTCTTTCCATCAGGTGGCTAAAGTATTGGAGCTTCAGCATCAGTCCTTCCAATGAATATTCAGGGTTTATTTCCTTTAGGACTGACTAGTTTGACCTCTTTGCTGTCCTAGGGACTCGCAAGCGTTTTCTCCAACACCACAGTTCGAAAGCATCAGTTCTTTGGCGCTCAACCTTCTCTACAGTCTAATTCTCATATCCGTACATGACTACTGGAAAAACCATAGCTTTGACTATACATCCCTTTGTTGGCAAAGTGACGTCTGCCTTTTAATATGCTGTCTACATTTGTCATAGCTTTCCTTCCAAGGAGCGTCTTCTAGTTTCATGCCTGCAGTCATTGTCCACAGTGGTTTTGGAGCCCAAGAAAATAAAATCTGTCACTGTTGCCACTTTTCCCCCTATTTGTCATATGATAATATATACATTACATGTGTATAGATGTGTGTGTAGTGGCTCAGCAGTAAAAAAAAAACCCTCCTTCAATGCAGGAGACACAAGTTCAATGCCTGGGTTGGGAAGACCCCCTGGAGGAGGGCATGGCAACCCACTCCAGTATTCTTACCTGGAGAATCCCATGACTGAGAGGCCTGGCAGGCTACAGTCCACAGGGTCGCAAACAGTTGGACATGACTGAATTGACTGAGCATATATATATATATATATATACATAACATGTATTAATATATGTATATATACCTACAGAGAAACATACCTCCATGCACTTACTCAAGAACTAGAAAGAATGGCCAGGGTCCCAATTCCCTTAAGTCAAAAGAGCTTTGAACTTTGGGGAACAAAGTACATAGTTGTGACCAGGGCAGAGACGGGAAAGCCTGTCCTGCCCACCCAACAGGCAGAGCAGAAGACGGAAGACTCCTCTGCACACACTCCCGCTTTGGCTGGGTCAGGCTCAAGAAAAGAAAATAAATCACATTATTAGCAAATGCTGTCTTGATTGAACATAACCATTCAAAAGCAGTTTTGGTTATAATCCAGTGTCAACAGTCTTTTACACTTTTATAGAAGTAGATTAGGTGAGGTTCATGCCAGGTTGGCACCTTGGACCGGGGTGGGGGAGGGGGGCAGGGGGACACGGGGGTGTATGACATCCACACAACCAGGCTGTGTCTAGCCAGTCAGGTGGAGGAGATTTAGAGAAACTAGTTCTGACCCTGGGGTAACAGGAAATGTCTACTCAGCACTTCTCAAGTTACCTAGTGAAACATCTTTATGGTCCAGGAGAGTAAACACACCCCCTGAAAGCATTACTTTTCCTTGAGGTCTCTGGATTATCACTCACATGAATCCCATCCTCACCTCCACCCCCAAAATGAAGTTTGAGAAATGTTGGTACCTCAGGAAGGCTTTTTTAATCTTCTGGCATTAAGTCAGAAACCCCAGCGTTGAAGAGATCACACAATATGGCATTTCACACTGCCTAAGCCTGTAGGGTCTCTTGGCTGTGAGCGGATTTGCTATTTAGAGCACAAACTTCCTCTCAATCTCTGCTCACCGGCAGACAGTGGGAAAAGACCAGAGTTTTTCTACTGTTGTTCAAGGACATCTTAAATAATACAATCTTGCTCAACGAGAGGTGGGTTTTCAGTTGGCATGGAGCCTGTCCTCCTATTTAGACGGCCAGACTCAAGTGGCAAACGAGATATAAATACATGACATCAACAAGATAAAATAATATCTTATTTTTATCCCAAGTGGTTTTGATGGTTTGTTTTCCACTAGTTAGAAACTAGAAGAAACTATTTTATGAGTGGAGATTTCATCATTTACATTTTCGTAAAAAGGGCTCGTGTCAGAAAGGGTTTCTGAAACCACTCTGGTGGCTGGGAAACACGGCTGAGCCCTTAGACGTGCCAGCACCTTCTGGTCACTGCAGGCACTAACCCACTTTATACCAGCAGGTGCGGTGACCGGTCAGGAAGGTCAGGAACCTTAGACAGCAGGGCATGGAGCGGAAGTCAGAGCATCACCACGGGACACGCCGGGGCAGTGACCATATGGAGGGGAGGCTTTTGAACGGGTCATGCCCGGGATAGGGTCCGGAGGCTAAGGTCTTCCAGCACCGGACGCCAGGCCCGCGGCTGCCAACTGTTGGGAAACCGCCCTCCCGCGGCCGCCGTCCACCCGAGGCCCTGGGCGCTCTAGGCCAACCCCGTCCGTCCGTCCGTTTCAGTGCTCCCTCCCCTCGGCCGGTCCATCGGCCCGTCTGTTAGTCAGTCCCCTCCCCCGCTCCACCCTCTGGTCAGTCCGTCGGTCCCCCCGCCTGTCGTCCTCTCGAAGCTCTGTCCGTCGGCAACGCGTCCCCTCCCCCCGAGCCCGTCGGTCAGGCCGTCCCCCTTCATTCCCCACCCCCAGCTAGCGTCCAGCCCCTGGGCGCGCTCTGCCCGCCGTCCGTCCGTCCGCGTTCCCGAGCCAGCGCGCCGGGCGCGGGGCGGCGGTGGCGTGTGATGACGTCATATGGGCCGCCCGCCCGCGATTGGCCGCAGCCTCCTCACCAGACCCCGAACGGACGGGCGCGCGGGCGGGGCGGGGCGCGCTGAAGCCACGCCCCCGGGCGGCGGGCCTGGCGCGGCCACGTGACCCGGGGGGGCCCCCCGCCGCCCGCCTTATAAGCCGCGCGGCGCGCGGACCGCTGCGGGCCCGACTCCAGGCGGTCTGGGCCGGTACAGTTTTTCGAGTCCCTCCTCCCTCGGCGAGCCCGCGGGCGGGCGCCCCTCGGCCAGGTACGCGGGGCACGGCGAGGGCGGCGGGGTAGGGGCTCCGGGGCGGGCCGGGCTGGGATGTCCGGGTGCCGACCTCTCCACTCCGGACAGCCGCCCCTCTAGGCCGCCTTCCTTGAGGGTCCCTCGGGCCTGGGCGTAAGCCCTGACCCCAGCCCCGGTCCCTGCGCTGGGGGCCAGCACCCCCGACCCCCAGGTGCGCTCTGCCGGTGCGCCTCCCGGAGCGGGAAGACCCCGGCAACTTGTTCTGGGGCGACCTGCCCCCGGTCCTGCCTGGCTGAGTCCGCCTCCTGCAGACGAACGGGGTCTGGAAAACTTCTGGACTGGACGGGCCAGAACTTAAGGGCTTCTGTGGAGGGCCGTCGTGGCGGGAGCGCAACGCTCAGGTGGACCCAGCCTGCCTGCCTGCCGCGGAAAGCAGTCGGTGCATCTGCTTGGCTGGGGCTGTGGGCAGGGTCCTTGCAGCCGCTCCCCACCCGGGGGCACCTGCCGGGTGTGACTAACTTCCGAAAGGCCTTGGGGGTTTTCCTGGACCTGCTGGTGGTGAACCAGAGCAGAGCCCTCCTTGACTGGGCCTCCCTGGACCCGACCTCCTTTGGAAGTGAACTTGGTCAGGGTTCCACCTCCACGCCCCCTTTTCGTTCTAGGAAAGCCTGCAGACGGGTGGCTCATGCCCAGACTGGACGACCACCTCTGGAGAGGTCCCTGCGCTAAGGGCACGAAGCACAGAAGCCACCCAAGGGCCAGTGCCAGAGGGCTGGTAGCCAAAGCAGGCGAGATGAGCAACTCCTCGGCCTCAGGCCCCTCTCTGCTGGCGGCCCACGGCGCCCTGGGCACCGACCCTGCTCATGGGCCTCAGAGCGCTGGTGTGGGGGGCCAGGGCGGCAGCAGCCACGTCAACAGCTGGCATCACCACCTGGTGCAGAGAAGCCTGGTGCTGTTCTTGGTGGGGGTGGTCCTGGCCTTGGTGCTCAACCTCCTGCAGGTCCAGAGGAACGTCACCCTGTTCCCAGACGAGGTCATCGCCACCATCTTCTCCTCTGCCTGGTGGGTTCCTCCGTGCTGCGGGACAGCAGCGGGTGAGTAGACACCGCAGATGTCTGCTGGGTTAGGAAGTGTGTTTGGCCTCTGAGAACTGTTTGAGAATGGAACCATCCAGAGAGGGGCGGTGTGCATCTCCAGTGACTGTATCCAGAGGAGAAGGGGCGAGAGGAGGAGCCCACATGCCAGGACTCTGGATGCCGCTGACGGGGACCAGGCGGGCGGTGATTGGCTGTTCCTTGCCCGTGCCAGGCTGACCGAGGTCCTCCCCTCTTACTGATCTGGCCCTGAGGACAGTGTTGAGGGGGCCCGCAGCTGTCACCCCGAGCGAGCCGCGCCATTGGCCACCGGTAGAACTGGTGAGCCGAGGAACTGCCGCGTGATTGGCTGGCCCTGGGAACATGCTACCCACCGGGCAACCGAAAACAAACCGTCACGTGGGCGAGTGGGCAGAGCTGCCCCAGTGGCCTCCCTGCACTTCCTTTTTCAGGACTGCCCTGTGAACGTGCCAGAGCCAGGCCTTCTCCCCCACCCCCACCAAAAAAAAAAAAACCCAAAACGCCAGGGTCCCAGGATGAAGGAAAACAAATGTCTTATCCAGAGTTTAGATTTTAGTGCACCTGGCCAGAGTCTGACCCAGACAAAACCTGACCCAGAGTCTGCAGTCTTAACAGACTAGACAGATGGACTGTATCTCTGAGTAAAATTTCTTGGTCATCTGGCTGGTTTTAGGAAAAAACGCTGAACTGATCTCAGCCCAGTAGCTGAGAAGTAGCACTTCTCTGGTCACCCAGCATTCACTGTGGCCTGAGGTCTGCCGGTGGTTGAAGTGCAGAGTGAGCAGCCTGCCCCTGGCAGGCATCCTGGGCTGGTGGGCAGGACAGGTGTGAACCTGGGTGACCAGGCTGGCTCCTGTCTGCCCCGTGGCCGGCATTTATGGACTGTTTTATATGCTTTGCTTCCCCTGGTCCTTACGAGACTGCTGCAGCTCCATCTCACAGACGTGGAAAGTGCAAGGGGACACGCCTAGTGGCAGGCGCACTGTCCGTAGCTGGGTGTGTCCCCTGCACTGAGAACGCAGCGGATTGTCAGCAGCTTCCCTTAGAGCAGGGGGGAGGCCCCAGGCTGGAGTGGGGAGCCTCATGGGAGGGGTGCTGTGGGGAGGAGGTTCTCATCGTTCTCAGGGAGTCAGGCTTCTGCTGTTTTCTAAGCCCCATCAGTAGGCCCTTTTACTATCCAGACTCCTTTTTGGGCATTGGACCTAGGTGCACACTTCCATTTTTTCATTCTCATGTGATATAGTAGTTCCTTTGACTGGAACAGTTGATCTCAAAACCATTGAACTATTTGGTTTAGGCTTTATTTGTAACAGAAGCTTCAAGGAATTCCAGGGATATCTGATACATGACGTCTGGTACCCTAGCTGCTTTTTTTAAGCCATCAGTCAGGGGCATAAAGGGAAAATGCCATAGTACATTTTCACCTACTTGAGTATGAAAGGCTAAGATTAAGATACAGTGACTTAAGTGATGAAACTGTTTGGGTTCTGTTTTTCAAGACTCCAGAATTATGGGGATTCCCTGGTGGTCTAGTGGTTAGGACCCAGTGATTTCACTGTGGTGGCCCAGGTTCAATCCCTGATTAGGGAACTAAGATCCCACAAGCTATGCCATGTGGGTCCCCCACCCCCCCCAAAAAAAAGTCCAAAATCAGAACTTGATAAAATGTAATATGGAATTGAAATTGTTTCATTGACTCTTGGGCTAAAGCTGTGTTCCTTGTTTCTCTGTTTGGGAGCTGAACTGGGTCCCTCTTCTCGTGGGACCCCAGGGGCACCGTGCATGACTCTCAGGCCTCAGTACCTGGCTGACGTCACCTGGCCTGCCTCCCGGCCAGTCGCCACACGCCCTGGTCCCTCTTGCTTTAGCTTTTTCCATTTTACGTCGCCCCGGAACACCGAGCCTTCCCCTTCTCTGGGAACTCTCAGGCTTTAAAGTCCTGTGTCTGTGAAAACGGTTCCAGGCCAACAGTAAGCTCTTCCTCCTGCTCCTTCTGGTTACATAACCCTCATCGTTTTACACACGTGGGGACAAACCCGAGCGCCAGGTTCCACTGGGGCGAGCGGGGGGTGAGGCCTTGTTTCCCGTGCTCCAGCCCTGGTTCAGGGCCTGGACGCAGGGCCAGGGGGGCAAGGTAGTCCTGTGTACTGACCATGGCAAGGATGCACGGTGCACACGCAGGTCTCTTGCAGAAAACGCTGCAACCCCTTAGCCATCAGGGGCAGGACCACCCTCTGGGAACGTGGCCCGCATGACCCACACGGCACAGTCGGGTCAACACCGGGGTCCCAGGCCTGCGTGGTGTCAGAACAGGTGCCGTGGCCTCCAGGCCCTGTGGGTGCACCCCTCTCACTGGGAGGGGAGGAGCACTGAGGTCCCCAGGGAGGCCCCCTGCAGAGGTGTGGGGGTGCTTCCCACATGGATGATTGAACCCTCTGGCTCCATTCCTTCTATAGGGCAAGCCAAAGAGCCGCAGTTTTATTTAAAATTGTACAGAACGACATGGATTTTTTTGGTTTGTATTCAAGGAGAACAAAGATGTAACAGTTTAGAAATAAAAGATGTAAAGTTAGTTTAAATATCTGATGGCTGGTAAATCTAGGAAAGGGAATGGTTTGAATAACGCACTGATGATCGCCACGTAGCAGTCACGTGTCTCTGCCGGCGCGCTCAGACCCTGCCACCTTGTCTTCTCCCGCAGCTGTGGTCGGCCTGCTGTACCCCTGCATCGACAGTCACCTTGGGGAGCCGCACAAGTTCAAGCGGGAGTGGGCCAGCGTGATGCGTTGCGTGGCCGTCTTCGTTGGCATCAACCACGCTAGTGCTGTATCCTTCCAGAGCAGCCTCATGTTACTGTTAATGAGTGTCTATCGCGTCCTGGGTCAGTTGAACCATCCTCTTACAAGTATCATTTCAAACCGTGTTGCTCAGTTTCCTCTCAGCAGAGCTTTCGAAGTGGTCCTGAAAAGTCCTTTTGGTTCGTTTCAGGAAACAGTTAAAACGACCCTGGGAACAGAGTGGAAATCTTTATAGTCTGTCCCTTTCTCTGTCACTACCTGTTGGATCCTCGGAGTTTGGTAAATTCCCTGTACGTTTCTGCCTCCCATCCTTCCACAGCGCAGACCTGGTTCCTGTGCCGCAGTGAGAAGTGGGGAGAGCTTCACTCTTCGTGGCCGACCCTTCCCGAAGGCAGAGCAGAAGCCCGTCTGCTTCTCCGCCCTCCCCGGCCATGACCAGGGAAGGCCCAGGGCTGATCAGAGGAGGTGGCCTCAGGAATAGGGTTCCCAGTGGAGGTTACCTTCAAGGTCCAGTTCCGGCATTCACCGGCGGGCTGCCTGGGAAAACACGTGCAGTTTTCAGGAAGATGGGCCGTGGTTTACCAGGTCTCGGGAGATTTATGGTTTCTTTCTCACAGAGAGATTATATTTTTAAATTCTGGAGAAAGCTGTTTTTAGAGTTTCTGCTGCTTAAATCTGCTCTACCCTGATTTTAATGATAAGAACTTCAAGAAAAAGTATTACAAGAGAGCCTGGCTCTGATGAATTTGTTTTGTCCCCAGTTGATAAAGCAGTGTTGTGAAGGAGGCCAGCTGTGTCTCCATCCGCTGTGACCATGTCATGTTGAATGCCATTCCGATGAGATGTCTCCTTGCAGACATGGAGCAAAGACCAGGCCTGCTCAGTTCAAACTGCTAGTAAGAACAAGAAGTAAAAGTGGGACTGTGGGTGACTTACTGGAATGTAGTTGTTTTGTGGTTGAATTAAATCCAAGCAGGGTTTTGTGCATAGCTTTTAGGACTTTGACAGGTAGAGTCAAGTTTTCGACGCAGCGATCCCAGAGGCACCCCAGGGCATCCTGATCAAGTAGCCTTGCATCCAGCACATGCTCTCTGCGGCTCTCCCTGCGGCTCTCCCTGCGGCTTCTGTGGGTGCAGAATTAGGTGGTGCACACATGTAGGCCCCGGGGCTCGTTTGTGTGGTGTTGACCGTATTAGAAATTGTTGCAGTCTTCCTTAACTTTGCATCGCCAGAAACTGGATTTTGCCAATAACGTTCAGCTCTCCTTGACGTTAGCAGCCCTGTCTCTGGGCCTCTGGTGGACATTTGACCGTTCAAGAAGCGGCCTGGGGCTGGGCATCACCATCGCCTTCCTCGCCACCCTGATCACGCAGCTGCTGGTGTACAATGGGGTCTATCAGTAAGCACGTGCTCTCAAGTGTCCCCTCTGTCCGGAAGCTGTCACTCCACTTTTACTCAGAATACCCACGAAGCTGAGGTGCCGTGTTCTGTTTGTAATTACACGGCATGAGCTTAGACATGAAATCTTCAAAAGCATTGCTTATTGTTGATTCCCATAAAAATGCACCGTCTGTAGTTTAAGGAAAACCAGGCCATGGTGGAGAGCTTTGCATTGTTCTTCAGTCTCTTAAGCTATGTCCAGGTCTTTGTGACCCATGCTGGACTGCAGCACACCAGGCTTCCCTGTCCTCCACCATCTCCCGGAGTTTCCTCAAACTCATGTGCATCGAGTCGATGATGCCATCCAAGCACCTCATCCTCTGCCGCCCCTTCTCCTCCTGCCCTGTCTTTGCCAGCATCAGGGTCTTTCGCATCAGGTGGCCCCGGTGGGCGGTGAGCGTAGGTGAGACGCGTTAATGTGGCTGGCGTGCTGTGTGCCTGCGCACCGTGCAGGGCTCACGTCTTCCTTTCCCTCCAGGTACACGTCCCCAGATTTCCTCTACATCCGCTCCTGGCTCCCCTGCATATTCTTCTCGGGAGGCGTGACCGTGGGAAACATAGGGCGGCAGCTGGCCATGGTACGTAAGTCTGTCACATCGGCGCCTGGTGGTAGCTTTCAGCTGGGTCAGCTTGCTTTACATAAGACGTTATCGTTTGTGTCAATGAATGCCTAGTCAGGAGCAACAGTTATTCAGATAAGCATGCATTTTTTAAAAAGCTATATCCCCGGGTCATTTTTTGCTGACTTGTAAAGGTTCAGGGGTTTGTAAGCTCACAGTGAGAGCTGCAGAGGAACCGGAGTTCCCCTCCCATGACAGGTCTGTCAGCGGCTTTTCTGAACTGCCGCTCCTGTAATGACCGGCAGAGACGAGTTACAGAAATAGCTAAATGAATGATTTATGATGAGTCTCCCCGGCTGCACTGCACGGGTACAGGCGACGCCGTGCTAGGGGCAGGGCGCCGCGCCAGGCCCCTGAGAGCGCGGGCGGGGCTGGGAGGGCGCTGAGTGCCCCTGGGTGGGTGGACTCCGGCCTGGACCCTGTCTAAGGACTAAAGGGAGTCACACTGAGTCCCGGATGGAGCCGTTTCCCAAGAGCCAGAAAGTCAGACACAGTCAGGATAACTTGGCAGTTCTGCTGGCAGTGAAAGACCGCAACACTTGAGCACTCTGATGAAGGAGTGTGCAACATGGACATTTAACTGTTTTGAATGGAGTTCAACTCTAAGGCTTAAATAAAATGAACTTAGAAAAGGAAACTAGAGTCTTATAAGGGCCATTTCTCTGAGACACACTCTGGGACTTTCTTAGAAACTTGTCTTGGTCCCTCATGCTTTTTTTTTTTTTGAAAAAAGGACATTTATTTGTACCTGCTGTTGGGAGCCGCCTGCTTGGCTGTTTGACAAGAGTGGAAGTAACTTAAAAATGAGAATTTGTGATGTTTCCCACTGGCTCCTGAGTCCACGCCATCCTTCCCCCTCCACCCTTGTGATTGTCTGGACCCGCCGCCAAAACAAAAACTGTCGACGGTTTGTCTCTGGACCCCTTGTGAGCATGCGCGGCCCTGCCCGGTGACCACAGCCTTGGACCCCCCCGTGCTGATCCCCACGCCCCTGGTGGTTCCGGGGAGAGGGAGGCAGCTGCATGCTTGCCGTCTGCGTGGAGATCTTCACTCAGTGCCGCTTAGTTAGGGTTCTTAGTAACGCTTTCGAGATAGAGGTTGTCTTCAGCTCCCGTGACTCTTCACGGAGTTAAAGTTGACAACATTCATTCAACTGGTTACTAGTTCAGGAGGAGGGGTGGATGCTGTCATACGTTTACGAAGAAGGGTTTTTGAATGAATTTTGTAAATAAGCGTCCTTTTGGTAGAGGTAGATGCTGCACACCACACGCAGGTTCGTAACACCAGAAACGGTTGGTGGAGACTCACAGGAGTGCGTGGTCACATCTTTGGCGACGACACCAAGTGAAGGTGGTTTTAGCAGCTGTCCTTCCATCCTTGTCTTCCTGCTGCTGTTCAGTCGCTCACTCGTGTCCGACTCTTTGCGACCCCGTGGACTGCAGCACGCCAGGCTTCCCTGTCCTTCACCATCTCCCAGAGTTTGCTCAGATTCACGTCCATCGAGTCGGTGATGCCATCCAACCGTCTCATCCTCTGTCACCCCCTTCTCCTACCTTCAGTCTTTCCCAGCATCAGGGTCTTCTCCAGTTCTCCAGTGAGTTGGCTCTTTGCATCAGGTGGCCAGAGTATTGGAGCTTCAGCAACTGTCCTTCCAGTGAATATACAGGGTAGATTTCCATTAGGATGGACTGGTTTGTCATAGACATTTTCATTTTTTTTTTTAAAAAGATGAGTGAAAGTTTTAAACAGAACTTAAGATAACTGGCATAATTATGGTTCCCCTTTCTTAAAGGTGTTTCTTCTTTTTTACTCTTCAAAATTGGGGACCATCTTATCTTTGGATGTTACTGTTGTGTCTTGAAACTGGAAGAGGCTGGTGAGCGTTGCAGTCATCAAAGGGAAAGAGCCCCCGCCCCGGTCTGAGTCCAGCCCTCCCGCTGTCTTTCCATCCGTGCACATTTATTTGTGTGTGTATTTGGCCACGCCTCATGGCTTGTGGTACGTTAGTACCCAACCAGGGCCTGGACACCAGCCCCAGCAGGGCGAGCTGCTGATGGGGAGACCGGTAGACTCCTCAGATGTGTGAAGCCAGAGGGGTAGTCACAGCTGGTTTTACAGATGCCCCCTCCGCTGCCAGCCCCTCCAGGGAGGGAAGGAGCAAAGCCCCTTTCCCCGAGCCCCCAGACCCCAGCAGAGGACACGGTCCGCGTGATCACGGGCAGGGCGGTCATGGCTCGGGTTGCAGCCGTGTTTCTGGGAGAGTGGGGGAGAGAATGAGGGAGGGTTACTTCTGTTACAGCTACTCGGGGCCCGAGAGTGAGGCATGGGCTTCAGATGGTCTTAAAGGGTCAGCCTCTCCTGGCGGAGGCGAGCAGTAGTGAGGAGCTGGGTTGGTGGGGGCAGGCGGGGGGAGCGCTCTGCAGGAACGAAGTGGCCACTTCTGACAAGTAGCTGGTTGGGGTGGTTCTTTTCTCTTTTGCAACTTTAAAGTTTACCATTGTTCTGCAGTTGACCCTTGAAGAACAGATGGATTGGGGCACCAGCCCTCCGAGAAACTGAAAACCTGACTGTATTGGATGAATCCTGTATTAATGGATACAGCCAACCAGGGACTATGTTGAAAAAATCTGCCTAAGTGAAGCCTCGCTCTAACTCTCATTGTTCAAGGGCCAACTATACTTGGTAACCGCAGCACTGGCGGTGTGCAGGAGCTCGTGGTCGTGGTCTCTGCAGCGGGCAGACCTGTGTCAGGAGGGGGCAGGCCCATCAGCTGTGTCCTGCGGAGGTTGTCCGTGGGGTGGTCACCGCAGGACCGTGGCCCTCTGCCTTTGCACAGCGCCACTTGTGCCCTGGCAGCAGAGCCTTGGCTCTGGGGTGTGGGTGACAGGAAGGCAAAGAATCGGTCCCCCCACCCCCTGCAGAGCCCCCGGACCCTCATCCCCACCCCGGCCTCCCCTCCCCCAGTCTATCCAGCCTGGTCCCTGCCTTTCTATTTGTCTCTTCCATCCTTCAGGGCATCGTAAGTGAAGTGAACTGAAAATCACTCTGTCATGTCTGACTCTTCATGACCCCATGGACTACACAGTCCATGGAATTCTCCAGGCCAGAATACTGGAGTGAGTAGCCTTTCCCTTCTCCCAGGGATCTTCCCAACCCAGGGCTCGAACCCAGGTCTCCCTCATTGCAGGCAGATTCTTCACCAGCTAAGCCACAAGGGAAGCCCAAGAATACTGGAGTGGGTAGCCTATCCCTTCTCCAGCGGATCTTCCCGATCCAGGAATCAAACCAGGGTCTCCTGCATTGCAGGTGGATTCTTTACCATCTGAGCTACCAGGGAAGTCCTCTGTAAATGACTGTCCCCTGAAAGCAGTAGGGAATCTTAAAAAGCCCCCCTTTGTCCAGCAGGAATTACATGCCTTCACAGCCTGTCAGTTGACCTCTGAACCTGACACCCCTCCTCTTCACAAACCCTCCATCCACTTCAGCCTTTCCTGCCATCTCCATGGGATGGCAGACCGTCTTTCTGCAATGTGCTGTTGCAGGAGCAAAAAGATAAGTGTGTGAAGCCAAAATTGTATTTTTCATGAGACTAGAATTGGAAGTTATATTTGCTTCAAATTGCACCAGGGCTGAAGAACAAAAAATATATTTATAATAAGGTTTGTCTTAGACATCTGTGACTACCCATGACTTGACCGTCCCTGCCAGAAGGGCCTTCTGCTTTCCCCACCACCCAGCAGCCAGTGGCTGTGATGGGCTGGAGCAGGGGCATGGCCTCTGCTCTCTGCCCCTGCCTGACCACCCACCGCCCAGTCCCAGTCCCTCAGAGAAGCGCCAGGGCCAGGCACAGAGGCGCGTGCCCCCCAGCGCCCTGGGGTGTGCACCCTGGTGGCTTGGGTTTGCGTCTGTGGGTGCCTGGACAGCGCAGCACCTTGCTAGACTCTTTCTTGCCTAAGTCTTTAAAAAGATCAAGTTAAACTTTTTTTTAGAGAAAGAGAATATTCTAGCTAGATTTTTCTCTTCTTTCTTCAAAGAAAGGGAAAAAACTAACAGCTGCTATGTGAAGGTGAGCTTACTCTTCATTTAGAATTTGAAAGCTTACTTCCAACCCAGGAAAGGACTCTGTGCCTTAGAAACGGAGTCGATGATGGTCCTGTTTGCACGTCCATGGCCACTGTCCTTGCTTTCAGAGCAGCCTCCCTGTGGTCCTCGGACAGAGGACACTTCTGAGACATATTTTAGCCGCAGTGTTGCAGGATGAGCTTTTGGTTTCAAATGTCTCCAAGTGAGGCTTTGTAGTGGAATGTGATTTGAGTGCAGAAGACAAAGGGCTGAAGGCATCGACCCGAGGTGGGCACCGGTCAGCATGGGCCAGGGTTTCCAGTGTGACGCGCCTACAGCCCACACCCTCCCGTCCGCTCAGTTCTGCCCTTAAAGGTGCTTCCTGGCTCGGGCGGGTGTGCCCCAGAGCCACAGGCTGGCTTTGCTCGAGTGTTCACTGGTTCACGTTGCTTTTTCTGTGCGGTATTTGTTGTCCGCTTCTGTGTTTAAACGAGAGTGTGTAGCATCATTTTATCGAGTTCGTGTCTGTCGTTTGCAGATGAAAGTCTCTTCTCAAGAAAAGTAAGGCTTCCCACTGCCGCCTGAGGAACGTGGCCCCGTTCCCAGAGCCCAGGGCCAGGACGCTGGGTCTCCAGTGCACTTCCCTGGCCAGTGGGGCATGGTGTGCCTCTCCCGTCTGCGATGCGGCGGCTCCTGGCCGTCACAGCGGTGGTGTTGTCTGGCTGGCATCCATTGGCACTTGGCCGAGTCCTGCGGCGGCGGTGTGGGGGCAGGACTGTCAGCGCACTTTGGAGATGGGGGTCGGAGCCCAGGAGGCTGAGCGGCTGGCATCTGGTGCAGAGCGGGCTGGCCCGTGTGGCTCGCTCGGCCTCTCGGCAGGGGTTAGGATGAGACGCAGGATCCCCGGCTCTGGCAGGAGGCAAGGGCCTGTCCTCACACAGCCCCGTCACCTCAGGAAGGTCAGCCTCTGGTCTCAGACCTGCTCCCCCAGCGGGGTGTCTGTCTTCCATTGAGGGCCCACCAGGCCGGGCCCAGACGACGGCCGCAAGTGCGGGGTGCCCTCCCCGAGTTTCCGCGCCGATCGGTGAGGAGGCGCGCGCAGACACGGCGCCTGGGCGGCGGTGCCGCCTCTCGTCCTGCCTGAGTGGGACAGACTGGGTCTGCTGAGACTGCGGCTCCCAGCTCAGGGCCCCGAGGGCATTGCCGTGGGGCTGGGGGAGCCCGCCTGTCGCCAGACCAGACCATGTTTCTGGTCTCCACCCTCGCCTCTGGCGCAAAGGAATTTTTCTTCTCTCACTTTATAGGGTCCGCTTAAATTGCTAATTAAAACACGCAAACATCCAGCGCTAACGTGCTCTCTTTTCTTCTCTTTCTCTACATAGGGTGTCCCCGAAAAGCCACACAGTGATTGAATCTTCAGACCCACGATCCTGAAGAGTGGCGAGGTTTGGGAAGAAAATCCGCTTGATACTGGGTAGTGATGAAGACTATCTCTTTTCCTCAGTAATCTTTTCAGATGGGGCTGACTGTTCCAGTGATTCCTGGGAAACACTTCACCTGTTTCAGAGCAGCAGCGAGGGTGGCTGGCCGCTGGTGTTGGCACCTTGCGGGATGGTGTCCGGGCCCGCGTCCGCCGGGGGGCTCCACGAGCAGGCCGGCCGGGTACCGGGTCCCAAGGACTCAGTTTCCCGTGTTATTAAATGCCAAGTTGCCATATTTCCTAGCCTCGAACTAAAGCCTAACTACCAGCTCTGGTTTGGTATCAGCGCCCCGGGGATGGCTCGATGGTGCTTACAAAGATGAAGTGTGATAAAATAGGAATATTACTCATCCAAAAGATTTTAAAAATAGGGCTGTGTTGTGAAAGAAGAGAAGGCGGTGGTGGCAGCAAGTGCAGGGCGGCCGTGCTGGGCGGGCGGGCGGGCACAGCGTGTCCCTGGTGCCCGTGTGGGCCGCCGTGCAGACAATCGTGCAGAGAGGAGGCGGTGCGTGGGAGGTCGTGGCTCTGCGCTGCGATGGGTTGGACTTTCCACCCCGGGATTCACAGAGTTTGCCCAGAATCCGCGTCGTCTCGAAGGGGGCACTTGCTGGCCACACGTCTCCGTCTTGGCCCAAACCGTGAGTTTTCTTTGATACTTGGGAAGAAGACACAGCTTTTTCCCCACAGCCCTATGGGATTTGCAATCTGTGATTGCCTTGTGAAAAGAAGAGTGCGTACGTCACTGCATTAAACATTCGGTGTTTCTAAATACTCAAAAGACGTGGTGAGCACAATGTATTCATTTAATGGCATAGACCATGTTGGACCTGGTCTGCAAGTCCTGGGTCTTCAACTTCAAGTGCAATGTATAGGAAACCAATCTGAGCCTTGTATTCTCTTTAAATATTTATTATTATTATTTTTTAAACATATGAGATGTTAAAGAGGGTTCTCCATTTCAGTGCTGCATGGAGGCAAGTTCAGCAATAATTCTTTTCGGTTGTGAAGTCCCTTTGTTGTCGTGCCCTCCCGCCGAGCCCCAGTCCTTTGAGATGCTCCCAGTCTGGGGGGTTTAGTAAACTTGTAATTTTTACTTACAAATTCACCCTTTCTATATTTTGCAATTGAAAATATTTCGGTTGTTTTGAATCCTGTGAATGTGGCTTGATGGTAAGATTCCTCGGGCAGCCGGCAGTCGGGAGGCTGGGGACGTGGGAGCCCCTGCCGGCAGCCGTGGACTCTCCGAGTCCAGTGGTCCCCGTCTCAGTTTGCTTTTAAGGAAAATATCCTGGAGTAAATTTTAGGTTACTGTAGTGACTTTGTTTTAGAGAATCTCCTTTAAAAGAAAATAGAACCATTCTGAACTTTGCAATGACCCCCTTATGACATTTTCTGAAAACGAGAACCATCAACTATGTGAAAAGATTTTTCAATGAGGATGTCAGCGTTTTTGTGGGAAAAAAAAAAAACCAGAAGTTATTAGATGAAAGCAGTCATTGAATCTTTCCAATATACTTGATCATGCACAATGAGTATTTTTCTCTCTTAAACTGGAAATAAATTTATGTCTGTTAGAAGCAGTGTAGCCAAAAGATGTGAATCTGAAGAATTTCGTTGCCAATATTTTCTAGCAAGTATATGAACCAAAGTCATTTGAGTTTGTGAAATTGTTACATAGTATGAGCAGAATTTGCACTATACCAGATTGGAACATCTAGTGAGATTCACATTCATACCAAGTTTTCAGCATTGTGTTCTTTTGCATTCATTTTTTTTACTTTTATTAAAGGTTCAAAACCAACCATTGGATTTATGGGTTTTTCTTTTAAAGGGAGGAGGGGGAGCTCCCTCTGTAGGATAGTCACATTTGGAATGGAAGAATATTTTATAGCTTTCCAAAATTTACTAAGTTGCCACACAATCTCTCGGGAAAAATATTTTTTCCTCGTGGTGGAAATGTACGTGTTTAACCTCCCGCCCTGCCCACTGGTGCTGGGCAGTGGGACATCTTCTCCAGCCTTCCCACCCCCAGGAATGCTGTCCTCCATCTTGACGTGAGAGGGCCCTTCTCCCTGTCCTAGGACACGGGGTGTCTGGACACCCAGGAAAAGGGCAGAGGAAGCCTCCAGGTCGTGAACAGCCAGTGTGTCCGGGGCCCTGAGTGAGGGCCCGCGTGGCAGAGGTCCACTGTCCCCGGCGCCTGCTGGACAGGGTCACCGCCGGTGATGAAGGTGTCACGGATGCGCTCCATGTACACACACTGCCTGGTGTGAATGCCTGCCTGCCAGGGCTGGGTGCTGGGTTGGACAAGAATCAGAACTGGCCTCAGAGGTACTCGTCCCAGGGTGAGAAACACAGACCCTGGGCCAGGCTGGGGAGGGCTCCTAGAGCAGCCGGAGCATCCTTCCCACACGACCTGCATCCACCTAAGGGCAGGGCTCCTGTCCAGCGCGATCCCACCCAGGGCATGGCACAGCTGGCTGCGGCCCGGGCTGCACACACTTCCAGGAAGCAGCCCTGAGCCAACAGGCCGCCTGGGCGCCCACCTCCACCCTCCAGCGACTGCACCGTGCTTGACGCGGTTTTGCAGATTTATTTTCAGTTGTGAAACAGCATTGCAATGATAGAGAAAGCTCTTATCTTCTTATACTCAAACCCAATACATGTATAGCATAGTCCAAAGTCATAGCTTTCTCCTACATGGAACACAAAACTGTTCATGTATGGAAAATTGATAGAGCCGTCCCACCACAGGGACAGAAAGGTTTTGCCTGAGATTAACCCAATCGATGAGACTCCTAGGCTTCCCTGATAGCTCAGTTAGTAAAGAATCTGCCTGCAGTGCAGGAAACCTGGGTTTGATGCCTGGGTTGGGAAGATCCCCTGGAGAAGGGAAAGGTAACCCAGTCCAGTATTCTGGTCTGGAGAATTCATGAACTTTATAGTCCATGGGGTGGCAAAGAGTCAGACACGACTGAGCGACTTTCATTTTCACTTGCACTATAAGACTCCCAACACAGAATAGCAAGTCCCCTCCCTAACAGTGGTGTTCCAAGAGCGAGTTTGTGAAGGTCAATTTGTTCTTAAGTCCAACAGAGCTAGCCTAGGTACCCAACTAACACAATCAACTGTACAGTACTGTACTATAATAGGTTTGTAATACTTTCCATGCAAATAAGACATAAAAAACAAAAAGTAAAAGATTTTCAATCTTACGATACCTTGAAGAGTACAGTCGTACAGTACATCAGGGGCTTCCCAGGTAGCGCTGGTGGCAAAGAAGCCAGCTGCCAATGCAGGAGATGTGAGAGACTCGAGTTCAATCCCTGGGTCAGGAAGACCCCCTGGAGGACGGCACAGCAGCTGCCTCCAGGATTCCTGCCTGGAGAAGCCCACGGACAGAGGAGCCTGGTGGGCTACAGTCCATGGGGTTGCAAAGAGGTGGAAACGGTTGAAGCAACTTAGCACGCCCGCACAGTATGGCAGCTGGCATCGAATGAACAAGAAGAGTAAAGATTTGTACTTAAAGGTTCATATGTAGGGGACTTACTGTGATGCCTGCTCTGAACTAGTCTAAGCCTGTGTTTCAGAGTAAAGTTTGGGGAGTGAAATGTTTTCTGGAATTTTTCTGGTCTGTGAGCAGGTGGTTGAATTACCCTAGTTCACTAAAGGTCAGTTTGTGAGTCAACAAGGATTTCCGTGTCCTGTCTCTACAGCTGCAGATGCGAGGCTGAGCAAACAGGAGCTCAAGGTGGGGATATGGGTATTGTGTTTATTTAGCCAGTTTCCAGAGTCTCCTGAGATCCTACCCAAGGAGTGCTTCTGGAAGTTTGTCTAAAGAACAGGATTAGACATAATCAAGTCGTGTGGGTTATAGACAATGCCTTTATCTTGGTGAAAAGACAGGAGTGAGTGAAAGGGGCCAATTTAAATCTAAGCTTGCCTTTTCTACTTCATGTTTTAAAATAGACCTTTTGCTAAGAAGGTTCACCTTCTGAAAGTTTCAGATGATCTCTTTGTAATACTATAACTAGCAGATAAAGTCTTAAGAGTTGGAATATACCTTTGAAAAGTATTAATATTGTTGTTCAGTGACTAAGTCATGTCCAACTCTTTGTGACCCGGACTGCAGCACACCAGGCTTCCCTGTCCTTCACTATATCCAGAGTTTGCTCAAATACGTGTCCATTGAGTCAGTGATACCATCCAGCCATCTCAAACCCTGTCCCTTCTCCTCCTGCCTTCAATCTTTCCCAGCATCAAGGTCTTTTCCAATGGGCTGGCTCTTTGCACCATGTGGCCAATATCATAAAGTATTAATAAAGATATTCAAACTCAGCTCTAACACATCACATCTTACACAGAAGCTGGCCAACTACCCAGTTACCTACGATCGCAGTTGCTCCTGAAGACGCAGCAGACTAACCAACAATAAACTAGCCACAGGGGGGATTTGATCCCAGAACATGGCCAAACTATGCAAAGAAAGATGCGTGAAATGTGCTTCCAAGTCCTAGGACCCGCTTGGTCCTCTGTCGGTTTTCTGAGTAAATCTTCAGAGATGCAAATGTGAAGAATCTTGTCCTGAACAATTGTTAACCCCGAGTGCTTGGCTCAAGGCTGCGGCTCTGGGAAGAACAGAGCTGCTGAGATGGTGTCCTGGGTGAGGGGGTTCCTGCCTACGTCTGTAACTTGGCAAGACGGTGGCATGTGGAAAGCAGTTACTACGTTTTCATTCATTAGCCACCATTTTTCCAGTGCTTTGGCTCCGTCTTACGAGTTCTTTACGTAAGAGAGACTGTGTTGTCCCCTGTGATATGTCTCCCCCAGTTCAGGGTATAAGACAGTCAAGGGCGATGAGTTGAAAGTTCACTAATTTTCTCATTAGAATCTGGCTCCTTGTGTTTTTTCTGTCTTCTCTCAGGTAGGTTCTCTACTGAAAATTTTAGAGTTCAGCTTTGGTGGAAAGTGGCCTAAGTTCAGTTCAGTTCAGTCGCTCAGTCATGTCCAACTCTACGACCCCATGAATCGCAGCACACCAGGCCTCCCTGTCCATCACCAACTCCCAGAGTTTACTCAAACTCATGTCCATCGAGTCAGTGATGCCATCCAACCATCTCATCCTCTGTCATCCCCTTCTCCTCCCGCCTTCAATCCCTCCCAGCATCAGGGTCTTTTCCAAGGAGTCAGTTCGTCACATCAGGTGGCTGAAGTATTGGAGTTTCAGCTTCAGCATCAGTCCTTCCAATGAACACCCAGGACTGATCTCCTTTAGGATGGACTGGTTGCATCTCCTTGCAGTCCAAGGTGCTCTCAAGAGTCTTCTCCAACACCACAGTTCAAAAGCATCAATTCTTTGGTGGTCAGCTTTCTTTATGGTCCAACTCTCACATCCATACATGACTACTGGAAAAACCATAGCTTTGACTAGATGGACCTTTGTTGGCAAAGTAATGGCTCTGCTTTTTAATATGCTGTCTAGGTTGATCATAGCTTTTCTTCCAAGGAGCAAGCATCTTTTAATATCGAGGCCTCTTAAAATGGTTCACTATTCACTTGACCCGGAAAACCCCGTGAAATCATACAAGTCAAGAGGTTCAAGCTCTGTTTACTTTAGGAATCGTTGTGATGCTGTCTGGGCCGTGAAGGGTGCGTGGACACTGTGACTGGGCCCGGGGCACCCCAGCTGCTTGCTGTCCTCCTAGCGTGCTGGGTCATGTGACTGCCATCCCGCCGCCCTTCAGACTGCGTCTCATTTGCCATCTGACGGCTCCCAGGCCTGTCGTGACCCTCCTTCCCTCCCAGGGGCCCAGTGACCATGCCAGTGGGTGCCGCTGGGATCACCCTTTCCACCAATTCAATCTCGTTAGTTGCAAAAGGACCCAACCAGGATGGGGTGGGGGGGTGGGGGGGTGGGCGTGAGCAGACAAGCTCTGAGGGAGTCTGAGATGAGGGGGCGGCTTGACAGGAGCCCCTCCAGCCCACCCCTAACGATCTGCTCTGAGGCCCCAGCGTGTGCGGGCAGACCTCCAGCCCGCCACGTGACCAGCTGTCAGCCCACTCCGGGGTGGGGGGGGCGCCCGTCAACAAAAGGTCAACATGCCAACAGACCCCCGGAAAGCTCCCCAGGTCCGAGGCGGGAGTGTGCCCTTCACTGCCCTCACGGGATCAGAAATGGCCCTCGGGTCCCCTCGGAAACCTGGGGTAGGTGGGGAAGCCCTGTCCGGGGGCTTCTCATAAAGGAAACCCTTGTTTCCCAACATCACAGACAGCTCTTTGCATCTGTTTTAAATGGTCGTCAAGAAACAGAAAAAATGTTCCTGAACCCTCGACCGACGTGCACCAGCAGGTGCAGCGCGTGCACCGCGGGCGGGTCAGACTCCTGCCCTGACGCCGGGGTCCCGCTGTCCACCCAGGAGGTCCGGTTTCCGCTTCCAGACACGCACAGCTCTTTGGGGACTGTGTTTCTGCTTGGCAACCCTAATCCTTCTCCGTAACAGGTTTTCAAAAGGAATCTGAGAAGGAGGAAGATGGGTAGGTAGGTAGTAGGGTGTCAAACACTCGGCTGCCGGTCATCATGAAACCAACTTTTAACTTAAAATAGCCCAAAGGTTTAAATCCAACACCTGGACCTAGCACTTGGCTGTCCGATAAAGGCATTGGAGGACCCTGGCTCTCCCACTGAGCAAGAAGAAAAGTCAGGAAAAGCTTTCTTTTCTGAAACAGTGTTGCCTCCTGTTTTCCACCCAAAGGCTGCTTCCTCACGGACCCCAGGGGTCTCGCCGCCCTTCACCCTTGTGT